TCGGACTTAGAATTTTTTCGTTCAACTTTGGACTTAAAATATTTTCGTCAAACTTCGGACTTAAAATAATTTCAATTAACTTTGAACTTAGAATATTTTCGTCCGAGCTCCGATACTTAAACTTTTTCATCGATTTGTACTTTTGAAAATAAACTGTCTTTAAAATTTTACATGCTTTTGACTCGATTAAATTCATTTATTTGCATGCACCCCCCCCCCCCGCCGTCTTTAAACATAGCACAGTATTGAGTCGGTTATCCTCTCAATATTAGAGTACTCCGAGCTGGTTGCCTCTCGGAACTCTAATTATCGGAAAGTATCGAGCTGGTTGCCTCTCGATATCTTTCAACATTGAGTTGGATACCCTCTCAATATTAGATTACACCGAGCTGGTTGCCTCTCGGCACACTAATTATCGGAAAGTATCGAGCTGGTTGCCTCTCGATATCTTTCAACATTGAGTTGGATATCTTCTCAATATTAGAGTACTCCGAGCTGGTTGCCTCTCGGAACTCTAATTATCGGAAAGTATCGAGCTGGTTGCCTCTCGATATCTTTCAACATTGAGTTGGATACCCTCTCAATATTAGATTACACCGAGCTGGTTGCCTCTCGGAACTCTAATTATCGGAAAGTATCGAGCTGGTTGCCTCTCGATATCTTTCAACGTTGAGTTAGATATCCTCTCGATATTAGAGTACACACACACCCAAACACAACGTGAATACCGAACTGCGCCGTTATGGTTATTCAATTCGAGCCTTTTATTCTTTATTTAATTTTTGTGAATTTGAATTTTATTTAAAGAATCAAACTGGCCTTTGACTCAGTTACTCCCCTCTACAGTGACCGGTGTCAGCGTTTTTCTCAAAATGTCTTTTTTTGATCTGTGTTACGTCACCGTAACCTATTTTCAATAATAATATGTAGAATAATAATTAATCTTAATAATTAATAATAATAATAATAGTAATTATGATAATTAATAACAATAATAATAATAATTAATAATAATAGTAATAATCATAATAAAAGTTAATAACAAAATTATTATTTACATATTATTATATAAATAATAACTATAAATATTAATAATAATCAATAATAAATTGTAATAATATTAACAAATAATAACAAACAATAATAAACAATAATAAATAAGTTAAATATAACAATCTTAACAACAATCTTTAAGAAATAATAATAAACAATAATAAATTGTAATAATAAACGTAAACAATAATAAATTGTAATAATAAATATTAGCAAATAATAACAAAATGTAATAAATAGTTAAATATAACAAATATAACAACAAACTTTAACAAATAATAATAAACAATAATAAATTGCAATAATAAATATTAAATAATAGAATTATAATAATAAATATCAACAACAACAAAATTGTAATAATAAATAACTTTAAAATTAACAAATTGTAACAACAACAAAATTATAAACAATTAATAGAAATAACAAAATTATAAAATAACGTATGAATAATAAGCAATGGACACGTGCGATCTAATAGTGAGTCACCACAAGTGTTCCCGCAACAAAGGGTTTCTCCAAATACATGGAAAAGCGAACGATTCTCCAAATGCATGGCAAAGCGAACAATTCTTCAAATGCATGGCAAAGCGAACGATTCTTCAAATACATGGCAAAACGTACACTTTCTTCAAATACACAGGGAAATTTGGGTATAAGAAGGACCAGACCATCAAACAGTTTTCAGTCTTAAAATTTTATCTATAACAAGTGGTTCTTCACGACCCAGTGCTCTAAACCCAGTTTCAGTAGTTGTCCTTTACTCTACGTATATTTCAAAAGTGCATTTTGGAAAGTCGATCTGGAAGTCAAATTTGCCATTTGAAAAGAGTGTTCCTGTTTCTCGAGACACAATACTGCATCCAATTAGTCAACCGTTAAAGGACCAGTGCCATTATACCTGAACGTCTAGCATCACCCTTTGTCCCAAGGTAAACAATCAACCACTCTAAGACTCACATTAGAAAGCCTATGTCCATCTCTTATTTTCATCAATTTTATCTTATTTCATAAAATACACATACATTTGTTCAACTAAAGTAATTTCTTGTTATTTACTACCCCGTCCCTATTTTAATTAATTTTAAAATAAAATCGGGAAACATTAGGGAAATTATAATAATTAGGATCGTAACATATCGTAATTATTTTTGGTGCATCGGCCGTCGTGAACAAGTAAATACAAGAATCATTTAGTTTGAATAAATATAGTAATTATTTTTGGTAAATTAACCGTCGTGAACAAGTAAATACAAGAATCATTTAGTTTGAATAAATATAGTAATTATTTTTGGTAAATTAACCGTCGTGAACAAGTAAATACAAGAATAAATATCTTAATTATTGCATTAACCGTCGTGAATTAAAAATTAAAGAGCACTTTTTATTAATTAATTAGCTGTCATAAATTGATAAATACGGAAGAAGCTTTTCTAAAAAAATAATCACCCAACCAAATTTTTGTCATAAATTAGTAAATACAAGAAAGAATTTTACGTGAATAAAAAGAATAATAATAATAACAAATTATAATATTTTCATTTTCAAACAAATAATTCATAAACATAAATTAATAAACCAATAATAATATCAAATTTTTGCAAATTTCACAATTCTTACAAATTTTACATTTGATATAATAACAATAATAAATATTATAAATAATAATAATAAATAAATAATAATTATAAAAAATTTTACTTTTCATTAAAAAATTGATACAAAAAAAACCCTATAATAACTTAAAATTAAACCAGAATAAAATAAATAAATAATAATAAATTAATAAACATTAATAATAATAAAAATTTATAACATTTTTTTCCAATTTTCACATTTTTAACTAAAAAAAAAAAAAAAAAATTAAACAGAATTAAATAATTTAAATAGTAATTAAAAATTAAAAGAATAAAATAAAAAAAAAATAATAATAATAAATTAATAAACATTAATAATAATAAAAATTTATAACATTTTTTCAAATTTTCACATTTTTAACTCGAAATTAAACAGAATTAAATAATTTAGATACTAATTAAAAAATTAAACAAGAATAAAATAAAATAAATAATAATAAATTAATAAACATTAATAATAATAAAATTTATAGCATTTTTCAAATTCTCACATTTTTGATACAAAAATTAAATAGAATTGAATAATTTACGTACTAACCTGAAAAATTAAACAAAAATAAAAATTTATAAATAATAAAAATTAATAAACAATAATAATAAAAATTTATAACACTTTTTCAAAATTTTATTAAACCAATTAAATAAATTATGTACTAATTTGAAAAATTGAACAAAAATTAAAGTTAATAAATAATAATAAATTAATAAACAATAACAATAATAAAAATTATAACATTTTTTCAAAATTTTCATTTCGTGACTTAAAAATTAAACAAATTAAAGAATTATACACCAATCTAAAAATTAAACAAAATTAATAAATAATAATAAGTTAATAAACAATAATAATAATAAAATTTATAACATTTTTCAAATTTTCATTTTTTGACTTAAAATTAAAACAGAATTAAAATAATTCATATACTAATCTAAAAATTAAAATAAATAAATAATAATAAAATTAATTAACAATAATAACAATAATAACAATTTTTTTTAAACATTTTTTCAAATTTTTCATTTCTGACAAAATTTTTTTATTTTTAGACAGAATTAAATAATTCAAATTTGAAATAAATAAATAATAATAAATTAATTAACAATAATAATAATAATAACAATTTTTTTAAAAAATTTTTTAAATTTTTCATTTTTGAACTAAAAAAAAAAAAAATTTTTAAACCGAATTAAATAATTCACATACTAATTTAAAATTAAAATAATAATAAATTAATAAAGACAATAAATAAAAATAATAAAAATAAATAAATACCTAATAATAATTCGTAATATTTTAAAATCTTTTACTTTCCCAATACAAAATTATATAATTCTGATAATAATTTAAATAAAAAATAAAATATTAATAAATAAATAAAATTAATAAATAATAACTAATAAATAAATAAATAATAATAATTTGCAATATTTTTATAAATTTCTAAATTTTAATCCAAAATTATATAATTCTGACAATAATTTAGAATTAAATAAATTAATAAATAATCATAAATAAATAAAAATAAATAATAATAATTTGTAATATTTTATAAATTTTTACATTTTTTGTCAAAAAATTGTTTAATTCTGATAATAATTTAAAATTAAATAAAAATAAAATTAATAAATATTAACATTTTGTAACATTGTCACAAATTTTCACCCTTTTTGGTAAAATTCTTTTTTATAACAGAATTAATTAATTCATGTAATAATAAATTATTAAAAACAATAATAATCCGAAAATTTTATAAATTTTTACATTTTAATAATTTCAAACTAAATAAAAAAATAAATAAAAATTAAGTAAATTAATAATAAATAAAAAAAAAAAACAAATAAAATTAATAATAATAAAAATAATAACAAATAATATTAAAAATCAAATAAATAATAAATTATATGGTTTATTAACAAAAATATAATAAAATTTCAGGAAAAAAAAAATATATATAATTATAAATTGTTATTTTATTACTCACACAAATTTGTCACACTTAATTTTATAATATTCACTGCATTATAATATTTATTTTGAACATATCTGCATAAGTTCAAATTTACATATTTAAACATTCTTATAACTGTCCATATTCCAATTTTCAAACGAAAGTGATATAGATATTTTTATCAAAATAATTCCTATTCAATTAAGAATAATAAACACACGTGCTACGCAAAGCAAATAGAAATAAATTTCCCACACCCTATATACATTACTAATAGTCATTTCCCAGAAAATATTCAAATTTCCAATATAAACTTCTCTTTCAAAACAAGATTATCAAATTAATATTATGACATTTTTTAATGTCTTCTTCGAATAAGAATAATAGCGATTATTCACATTTAACTCGTTCTCATATAAAAAATAATCCAGATTTAGAATTAAATTCGGGAATTCCTAATTCCAAAACAAAACAGCATACAAGTACGCCCAGATATTCGAAAGAAAACCCTGATCACAAAGAAATACAAAAAGAATTTGACTCAGGCTTTCAATCTCGACTTTTTAGCAGTGACAATAACTCTTCTGACAGTGACAAAAGCGATAGTGAAGATACCATTACAGAAAAAACATTAACTGAACAAAATCCAAATAAAAGCTTAAATAATTCTTCGACTGACGACAATTCTGACAATAATTCCCTTAACAGTACTGAAAATAATAACAATTTTGAAGAAAACATGGCCCTACCAAATAATCAACAAGTCTCGTTACGCGATGCCTTAGAAACAATACCTATGTTTGATGGAAAGAATTTACCATTGTCAATTTTTATTGAAAGTTGTTTAGAAGCAAAAACTATGCTTCCTGACGTTGCACAAGTAGAAACAAATTTAGTTAAATTAATTAGAAGTCGAATTTCGGGTGAAGCGAGAAGAATTATAATAGAAAATAACTTTAACACAGTAGGACAATTAACGGAAAGATTAAAACAAATTTACGCGCCGGCAAAATCCGTATACCAGCTACAAGGAGAACTAGGAGCAATATTTATGTGGGAAAACGAAAATGTTATTTCTTACGGTGCAAGAATTGCAGAAGCAGCAGAAAGAATATTAGACGCACATAGAATTAATAATGACAATCAAGTAGATCCAGTATTTAAAGCAGGTTTAGATAGATCAAGCATCGATTGTTTTTCGCGAGGGCTTAGACCAGAAATCGAAATACGAATTGGAACAGCTGATACTTTTCCAGAGATAGTTAATAAAGCAATAGAAATTGAGAGAAGATTGTCATCACATCATGAACTACGAAAAAGTGAGCATAGTACCGAACATCATTTCCATCCTAAAAATAATAAAGATTTTGCTAAAACAACAAAAATTAATATGGTTCAAGATAATATAATAACTTGTTTAATCTGTGGAAAAAGGGTCATTTTGCATCAAACTGTTTTCAACTTAATAAAATATTAGGATCAAGACAAGGAAACTCTTTTTATCCAGTCCCACGGCAAAATTTTGCAAATCAAAATCAAAGTCGATTCAACAATCAAAATTCAACATTTAAATTTCAAAATCAAAACCGCATTCCTTTCCAAAATCAAATTCGCAATCCATCACAAAATCAATTTCGCACTCCATTCCAAAATCAAAACCGCATTCCTTTCAAAAATCAAATTCGCAATCCATCACAAAATCAATTTCGCACCCCGTTCCAGAATCAATATAGTACTCCTTTCCAAAATCAATCCCGTACTCCGTTTCAAAATCAAAAACAAAATCAACAACAAAATTTTTTCCAAAATCGACAAAATTTTTCTCAAGAATCACGAACTAACGCTACAACAAGCTTCGCAGATAGAACTCAAATAACTTGTAATTATTGCAAAAAGCTAGGACATATTGCCACTAATTGTAGAAGAAAGATATGGGACGATAGCAATAAACAACGACAAACAAATTCAGAAACACAAAATCAGGGAAACTCCAAAATTCCTCTTTAGTAGGATGCTCCGAAGAAGAATGCAAAAAGAATTACTATGCATCCAGAAACATTAATTTGGCAAAAACTAATACAATACCATACATCCGAATAGAAAATAAACAATTAAAAATTCCAATAACAATGATGATTGATACAGGTGCAGGACCAAATTTATTAAAAATTCGCGCATTAAATTCGGATATAGCAATTAATGAAAACAAATGTCTTAAATTAACCGGAATTAATGATCATGCAGTATACACATTAGGACAAGTAGAAATTAATATTTTCGGGATTCCAACAATTTTCAACCTATTATCTAACGAAGTACCTATTGAACATGACGGAATTTTAGGAACAGAATTTTTTGGCAAAAATAAAGTAAAAATTAATTATGAAGAAGGACACTTAGAAATCAACAAACAAAAATTTAATTTCCATTCAAAAAATTGTTTTTCGTTACCAGCAAGGTCAGTGTATAACGTTCAAGTAAAAGTTTTAAATAAAGAGAAAAAAGAAGGTTACATTCCAAGATTAGAAATAAAAGATGGTGTTTACATAGGAGATGCAGTAGTTTCAAACATAGAAGGCTTAGCTTGTTTAAAAATAATCAACTCTCTTAACGAATCAATAGAAATACCAATTTTTGAAATAAGTTTAGAGGATTTCGACGAAATAAAACAAGAAACACAAATAAACAAACTTGAAGACACATCAATTACACAAATTATTGATGCATTTTCAAAAAATTACGAATCAAAGAAAATTTTCAATATTACAGGCAGTGATAGAATAGAAGAAATTAAAAAACTACTTCGTCTTGATCATTTAAATACAGAGGAACACGAACATATAATGAATTTAATAAAAAACTACTCAGATAGATTTCATATACCCGGAGAATTTTTAGAAGGAACAGATCTCATAAAGCATAGGATAATAACCACTGATGATACACCTATAATCACTAAACAGTATAGATTCCCACCTGTCCATAAAGAGGAAATGACGCGCCAAGTTAACGATTTATTGAAACAAAAAATTATTAAACACTCCGACTCACCATATAATACACCCATTTGGATCGTACCCAAGAAGGATGATTCGTAAGGAAACAAGAAATGGCGATTAGTCTTAGATTTCAGGAAGCTTAATGAACGAACGGTAGGTCAATTTTACCCACTGCCCAATATTACAGACCTATTAGACCAACTCGGAAACGCTCAATATTTTTCAGTCTTCGACCTAGCGTCAGGTTTTCACCAAATTAAAATGGACCCCAGGGATTCTTATAAAACAGCTTTTTCGACACCTTTCGGACACTACGAATTCGATAGAATGCCCCTCGGACTAAAAAATTCACCGAGCACTTTTCAAAAACTTATTGACCAGGTACTATTGGGTTTACAAGGTTCGGAACTATTCGTGTACTTGGATGACATCGTAATTTACGCAGACACCTTAGAAGAGCATGAAGAAAAATTCTCGAAATTAATGGAACGACTACGCTTTGCTAATTTAAAATTGCAACCAGACAAGTGTGAATTTTTAAGGTTAGAAGTAGGATACTTAGGACACATAATTGACAAAAATGGTGTGCGACCCAATCCAAAAAAAGTAGAAGCAGTTAAAAAATTCCCTGTACCCAAAAACGTGAAAAACATAAAACAATTTTTAGGATTAGCAGGATATTATAGAAAATTTATTGAAGGTTTTTCAAAAATAGCAAATCCCTTAAACCAATTATTAAAAAAAGATATACCTTTCCTCTGGACCGATAGACAACAAGCGGCTTTCGACACATTAAAAAACAAACTATGCGAAGAACCACTACTAAAAAGACCAGATTTCTCACAACCGTTTATACTTACTACTGACGCATCAGGCTTTGCAATCGGCGGAATATTATCTCAAGGAACAATAGGCAAGGACCAACCAATCGCATATACTTCGCGAACCCTAAACGAATGCGAAAAGAAATATGATACGTACGAAAAGGAAGCGCTAGCAATCATTTATAGCGTACAACATTTTAGACCGTACTTATATGGAAGGAAATTTACATTGGTAACAGACCACAAACCATTAGTTTGGTTTCAAAATTCCAAGGACCCTTGCTCAAGAGTAACAAGATGGAAACTCAAACTGGCAGAATACGACTTCAATGTAGTCTACAAGGCAGGTAAAACAAACGTCAACGCTGACGCCTTATCAAGAAACCCTATTGAAGATATTAATGAAACTCAGGAAAATATGACTAAATGTGTGCAAGAAAAAACTAATGAAGAATTTAATGAATATATACATTGTGTATCAAACGAAAATAAATTTTACTCAAATTCAGAAGTAATAAAAAATCTCTACGACATTGAAAAAATAATTATGGCCAATGAAGAATATGAAAATCCAGAAGTAATAAAAATTCTACAAAACATTAAAAGAAAATTTGATACACGTAACGAAACTTGTAATGTGATTACAAGAAACCAGCGAAAATTACAAGAAAATACTAATCAAGGAAAAGAAATACAAGTGAAAAAGAAGCAAGAAATCGAGGAAATTCAAGAAGAAGAAGCACACAAACCAAGGAAACGAGGAAGACCTAAAAAGCAAAGCATACGTTTAAATACTTCCTTAAAAAAGAAAAGGGGAAGACCAAAAAAGGTATGTAATACAAAAAATAAAGGAAAATTTTTTAATGAAGTTTATTATAATGAAATTGAATCAGATCCTGAGTATATTAAACAAAAATCAAAATTAGAAAAACATGAAGAAATTGATAATGGCTACGAAAACTCCAATTTTGAAGACTCCGAAGAAGAAGAAGAAGAAGAAGAAGAAGAAGAAGAAGAAGAAGAAGAGGAAGAAGAAGAAGACAACCTAGAAGAAAAAGAAGATTGCAAACAATTAAATGCGAAACAAGGAAAATATATTATAGACTGTAGAGACCAATTACCAATGCGCAAAGATAATTTCACGTACTTTATTTCAGTCAACGGAGATCCTTTAGACAACGGTTCCAAATCATTAGCTAAATGCGAAAAATTGCCAAAATTTAGCAAACTCCAAGTAGGTATAGCAGAAAAAATTAAAAAAGGTATATTTTATCACATTGCTCTCCCCATAGAAAATGAAATTAAGGAAAATTTAACCAATACAATACAAAGAATAAAAAGTACAATTATTTCATTAAAAAACTTATGTGAAAGTTTAAAATTAAAAAGTATAAGTATCGCGAAAACAGCAAAAATAAATAACGTAACTTGGGACGAAATCCTGTCAATGATAAAATCCATTTTTGAAAATTCATCTGTAAAAATTATTATATGCAACGGATATACAAAATACGCCACTAAAGAAGAATACTTGCAATTAATTGAAGAAGCCCATTCAAGTTCAATAGGAGGACATAAAGGTATCACAAAAACATATGGTAGAATAAGACAAAATTATTATTGGGAAAATATGAAAATTAGCATTCAAAAATATATTCAAAGTTGTCTTCAATGCCAATTAAAAAAATTAGTTAGAGTCAACACAAAAAATCCTATGATCATTACAGACACACCAGGTACAGCTTTCGAGAAAATCGCAATGGACATTGTTGGCCCATTACCAAAAACTAAAAACGGAAGTGAATATATACTAACTATACAGGATAATTTAACTAAATATTCTTTAGCAATAGCCCTCCCTAATCATCAAGCAAGTACTATAGCAGATGCATTTATTAAAAGATTTATTTGCATTTTTGGATCACCCAAAGGAGTATTAACAGATCAGGGAACCGACTTTTTAAGCAATTTAATGAGAAGATTAGCAAAAAGATTCAGAATACGTCAGTTTAAAACAACCGCTTTTCACCCTCAATCTAATGGATCAATAGAAAGATCTCATCACGTTTTAGGAGAATATTTGAAACAATTTATAAATAAAAATGAAGAATGGGACGATTGGTTAGAATTAGCAATGTTTTCATACAATACAAGTATTCATGAAGGTACTAAATGCACTCCGTATGAATTAATTTTTGGAAAATTAGCACGTTTGCCATCAAGTGATCCTCCACTTGAACACGAAAAATTAGAAACTTATGACGAATATTTAACAGATTTAATAACAAGACTCCACGAAATGAGAAATATTGCCAGAGAAAATTTAATTTTAGCAAAAGAAAAATCAAAAACTTATTATGACAGAAACACGAATCAACAAAATTTAAAACTCGGGGATGAAGTATTTTTATTACAAGGGGGAAAAATTCATAAATTCGCCAATCAATATACAGGACCTCATAAAATTTTAGAAATATTAGGAAAAGGAAACATAAAAATTGAAATAAAAAATAAACCCAAAGTAGTACATATTAATCGACTTAAAATCTCTAAAGTAAACAAAAATTAATTTCTTTTCCAGACAAATCAACAAACAAAACAAAAAATGATGATTTACCTCACACTAAAAACTCTAGAATTAACACCAGAAGATTTCACCTTTCAAATAGATTTAAACACAAAAAATAGTTATTTATCAAGAAATATTTTAAATACACCATATGAATCACATGAACCTAGAGAAATTAAAATAAACAACCAACAATTTTTTATAATTGGAGGTGTAGAAATAGAAGTAGAAAACACAATATTATATTTCTCAGTTATAGATGCTAACACAACAAATCCTTTTCAAAATAACTATGGAATAATTGGATCAAAGAACGCTTTAGAACTAGGACTCATAAACTTACAAATACTAGATATTTTTGCCCCTATAAACAACTAATAAGTAAAAACAAAAATATATACTTTTAGATGGACGATAGACATAGAAGAAAAATAGACTTACATGCCAATTTTATTGCTCATCACATTAATATGACTGAATTATGGCCATATTTATTTATCACAGGAATATTTTACAAAAACGATTGTAACATACATAGATGGAAAAATAATCTAAGGGACTTAGAAACAAAGAAAGATATAATACTTACTATAAAAACTAGGGGACCTAACGCTTATTATAATTTTCTAAATTGCTTATATGAAATAAATCAAGAATATATTGCAGACCTTTTACAACAAGTAAATTTATTATTTCAAACAATATACACACACAAATCACACAAATAAAACATAAAATAAGTATAATAAATTCATAAATAAAAAAAAATATATACAAACTCATTTTTCAGAAATGTTTTCCGGATCGAAAACATGGATGATATTAATCATAATGACAATATACTATTCACATACACACGCTATCATCGGATATGACTGCGGAGCCAACACCCTTAACTTAACTACTATATCACTTTTGGAAGTAGGAGACTGTGATATACCTAGACCAGAGGTACACTCAGAATCAATTTATATTCAACTAATACAAGTTGCTGATTATTCCTTAGCTAAAGTTAAACAATGTAAAATAAAAATCAGACGTACAATTACACAATGCGGAATGTTTTCTCATAATTCTAACGTGGCAAATGGTCAAAGCGAATATATTCTAGATGTTTCTCGCGAACAATGCACAGATCTTCATGAAAGAGGGACAATAATGATAGGACATAATTCACAAATAACAGGTTTAAAAGTCAATCACACATCTTTTAACAGCGTACTATTAGCAGGATCTGTATCATTCGATGGTAAATGTTCAGGAGCAGATTATTCAGACCCATTAGGAACTTGGAAAGATGTAACCGTCCAAGCCGTAGTATCAATAACTTTAAAAGAATACTATGCCACAGTTAGTTTAAACAATAACAAAATTCATTTAAAATCAGGAGTAACATGCCAATTATCCGAAGCAAGATGTATTGATATGGAAGACGGACAAACATTTTGGAACCCCTTACCCGAAGACATTTGCAAATTTAATAAATACGAAATACTTTATGAAGGACAAGCAAAGAAAATTCACGAAACTAATTCAAATAATTCAGAAATTTTATATTCTTTAAACTCAGAAGACATAACCTTTGTATTAACCCAAAAAGCTCAAAACCCCATTTGTCATCTCATCATGTATAAAACAGAACACCCTAAATTACTAGTAATAGAAACAAACAACGGAGCATTTGTTATAAAAAAATCAAAACCCAC